CTGATGGACAGGATGTAGCTCCAAATTAACCATTAAGCCACATAGTTAGGGATCTACTTCGATAACAATACTGAATGTCTATTACAAGTCAGCGAACTCCTTGTCGATGTACAAGGTTTAGATTGGCCATCGATAGTCTTCAATTTCTACAGTAGCTATCTATACAGCTTCAGTGGGTGTCTTGGTTTAATTTTGTTGCATGAGAGGTTGATATATATTCAAACATTCCTGAGATTTTCTTAATGAGATTTGATCTTTTTAATTACATATCAGTAAGAGAATGCATAACCCAATTACTTTCTTGTAATGCATTTCATATAAAGAAGTGTGTATTTATGGATATTGTATTTGCGTTCAAAACCAGTCAACAATCTTGGAGAATGAAAAAAAAAAAACTTCAAATATTCCAATACAGTCGAAATTTCCAAGACGTGTCAAATGCTCAGAATTTTACGACCACAACTCTAGATACTAGTATGATAAAAAGCAGAGGAATGTTTAGCAATGGATAGAAATATATACACATTCTATTAAACTGGATTAAAACTCAGATAGAAATTACAAAGTGCAATATTTAAACTTGAGATAGGGAAAGGGAAATAAGTTTCAAGTTTACGTATCATTCTTGTCGAAAGGACTAGAGTTAATATAGCTATGACTCACTTCATGGCTGAGTTGATTTTAATACATTTAGTAACCGAGCCATGAGTTGATTAACTTCGTTATTGACGGACGTAATTTCACGTTGACGTTTGGCCAATAATACATTGATCAGATTGGTCTTACCCCCCTGCCCGCTGGCACGTAGTGTTGCTTTCAAAACAGAGAAGCAATCCGGTATCATATTGAGCCAAGAATTTTGAGGTACAATAACAATTTTGGGACCATCCGTTTTAGAACAAGAAGGATAAAGAGGAAAGCCGATCTTTAAGTGAAAATTCCCATGTAATAGCAATGTCTATAAATCACCTTTTTTCTGAAAGAGTTACCCCCATCACATTTTGCATGGCACTTACATGTATTTTACTTAGAGGCTCAACTGTTTTTCTCTTCTTTTTATAAGAGGGGGAAAGGGGGGGGGGACCAGTACCCTTATAATTAATTTTCATATGCCAAATGTGTCTGAACCACAACAACTAGATACTTCGAAAATTTGCCGGCAGCCATTATTGGTAGAAATGAAGTGTTTGCTGGCAGATTTGGTCAATATAACAGAGGAGAATGGCTGCGAATTAATAGCATCTGTATAGCATACTTGGTGAATTTCATTGTTTGTACAGAGTTGATGAGATTGCTGTAAAAAAGAGACTAGATCGGCGATCAATGGTTGCATGTCTAGATCGAGCTAGCCTATAATTTGTAAGAAATTAGATTGTTCTTTTTTGCTTTTTTGTACATGTATTTAATTAAAAGAGGTCTTTTCCAGGGAATGATGAAGAAAATTGCATTTTACGTACACTTTTATTGCTTCCAGACAAAATATCAAAGTTCCAAAGGAAATGAGCATGCAAGTCCTTCATTATGGTTGATAAATGTATATGCAAAACTTTTAAAATCAGTTGTCACTAAAGTGAGAATATTATGAACAAAGATATATGTAACTATAGTCCGTAACATTCACGTGTAGTAACATTTTTAATTGCTTTTTTCTTTTAAATTAGCTTTTGGGTTTTATTTTTTAAAAAGTTTTTTTTGTGTTGAACATAAAAATTAAAAGTACTACAGGCCTTGCTGATAAATAATATCGACAGAATATATTAAATATGCAGATATGCAAATATTAACAGGGAACTTCTGCAAATACTGTGGGTCTATTTCAATATTTAGTAATTGGTTTTTCGATTGTTTTCGGCGGCTATGTAAACGGTGCTTTCTATTGATCATCGGCCCTAATTGTGCTTGGATTAATGTTAAAGTGTACAGTATTGAATAATTTTAGGTGATGTTACGATAAAATACGTTTAATTTATTCTATGTGGTAATTGAATCATTTCAAAACACGTGCAACATATGAAAGAGAAGAACTTCTATACTGAGAAAAAGAAAATCAAAACTATAGTACATGTACATTAATTTAATATGACTTTCATTGGTAAATGCCCGTTTTACAAAAGAACTAAAATTGTGATAATTTGTAGTAAAGGGCTTAAGACCCAAAACTTCAGATTATTGTAAAATTTTGCAAAATTATTCTATCTCTTTGAAATTGTTTGTGTGAAAATATCTTACCACTTTCTTTTTAAAAAGTTTAAAATAATTTTTGAAATAATGTTAGTTTAAAATTTATATGAATAATTGAACTTGATCTTAAGTCGTAAGTCAAAGAGAATATTTGAACAAAAAATGTTTTTATTCTCGGATATTCTAATGCATGTATCTGCATGAACTCCGGACATTACAAAGGCAGGAAGGAATTCCTTAAACGTGCTTCTAACCGAAGGTTAATCACACGCATAGATAACGGGAATCGCCTTTGTTAATAAAAGGCTTTGAAATTACATCTAGATGATAGCACTTGAATTTTCACTCAACTTAAGAAAAAAAGACTGTCAATTGAAAAAGGTGAACTGAATGTTTGGATCTGTTTTGTGTAACTATTAATATGTATACCTGTGTGCAACACACTAGTATAGGCTTTCATAAAAGAAGAAAAGATAGATGACAGCACATTCCCTTTATGTTTCAAAATTGTTCTTGGAAAGAATTCTATACTTAAAGCTCGCAAAAAAAAACGATGAAAAAGTAAATTGGCCAATTCAGCTGAAAAAGAAAACATACAGTAAAACTCCATTCTGCGGACGTCACTGAGCCCTTGAATTTTGCTTCCTGTTTACAGAGATTCTTAATAAAATCCTTATACACTGTGATTAATAAAGGATTAAACAAGATGTGTTTGTGAAAAACTATGCGCACGTCTTGTGCACGTCGGCAAAAAAGGTCCGAAAAAGCTATTTTTAGCATATAGGTCATTCAAGGATACAAGGTCATAGACATTGGAGTCGTTTGAAAGAACTTAATTAGTGGAGTATGCATATCAAATATGAAGTCACTCTCTCCTATGGTTCAAAAGTGATGCTGAATTTTTTTTTTTTTTTGCATATTAGTCACAGTCAAGGTCACAAGGTCATTGACCTTGGTGTCATTTGAAAGACCTTTATTAGTGGAGTATGCATACCTAATATGAATTATCTATCTATCATGGTTTAAAAGTTATGGCGAAGGTTAAAGTTGACAACAGATAGACAAACAAACAGACAGGATAAAAACAATATACGCTATCTATCCGGGCGCATAAAAAAAAAGATTTAGCTTTTTCGTATGCCAGGTACATTTCTTAATGAAAATTGATCTTTAAGTAGTCGGCGCATACTCATTTAAAAGTTTAAATGAATGATTTTGAAATGGTTATTTCTATCAGAGTTTGATAAGAATCAAAACTATAGGTAACTTAAAGAACAGCAAAAAAGTCTGCGTAGCACAGAGGCAAATGATTCCAATCTTTAACAGTGCTTCCTGAATTTCCTCTGCTTTGCTACTTTCCTTTGAATGTTTCCCATCATTAAATTCATATTACAATGTATGTAAGTTTGATACCGTTGAAGAGGGATCGGGTAAATTTTATCTCACAGCCATCAATCCATAACTCTGTAAGGATGGTAGCTTAAAAATCTGAACTTGAATTGCAGTTTGATTTATGTCCCCTTGGTATGATATCAGCTGTAAGAAACATTTATGCTATTTATATTCAGAATTATCATTGAATTGTTAATTTATTGTATGTTTTAGTTTATATATCCTCGCCACTAATTCACATTCAATAGATTACATAAACCGTATTTTTCAGCTTGTATTCGATACAGCTTAATATAAATACTGAAAAGAATTGATTATTTGAATTTTTTATTGATAAGTGAAATTTTACTTTTGCAGTGTAATTAAAATTGTTTCAACTGTCATATAATGCAGACCATCTGCTACTATGTAATCAAAACACCGCGACTTAAGGGGCTTGTCAATATACGCATGGGGTGTATCGACCAAACTGTAATTAGATGTTAATGTTATTTAGTCGCGACTTCTGAGAAATTTACAATCAATATTCAATTATTTCTGTTAATTATGTTTACAAAATGACGAAAAAAATAACGGTTAGAGTGAGGACAATGAGAATAATGTATTGATTTCGTGTATATAAGCAAGATTTATGGTGTTGAAATTAAACGTAAAAAAGAAAGCCTCTCTAATAGTTTGTTTACCAGGCCCGAAAGATTTATATGCATTTATACATATACCATTTACAAAGAAAATCTATATATGCATATACATATTATACCAGGTACATGTATTCCACAAGAAATACTAGCACAGTTTACTTCAGAGTAAACGAATTTAAAAAAAATTATGAATTCCTCGAGGCTTTTCTTTAAAAATCTTTTGGTTTATTACGATGAAAATTTTATTTTGACCCCCCAAAAAGGGGTAAATTTGGAAATTTATTAAGTTTTACCTTGTATTCCGAGTTTGATTAAATTTGATGTGGGAAAGGGGAGGCTATGCTGATACAGAAACGAGAGTCTATGTAATTTTTTTATCAGTTTGAGTAGCAGTTGCATGTATGTTAATATTTGCACAGACCGATCAACAGTATAGGGAAAAGAGTACCAATTAATTTCCCATAGAACTCTATACAAACCTTTTGCCCTCCAAGTAATTTACTAATTCCCGTTCAAACAAATCACTGGTATTATTTGAAAGTTCGTTCTAAGCACTTATTAAAAACACGAAAAAAAATATACCGTTCCGCGGCGTTTATAGGTCAAATTTGCAGTTATTTAGAACTTACAGAGATCGGCAGTAAATGACACCCTGCCAAAAATATCAATCCCCACTCCTACAATCTCCCCTGGTATTTCTAGAATTTTTGTAATATTCCCACATTCCATCATTTATTTCAAACATTAATATTTTTACTTTAAAATGAAAATAATTACATACCTCAATTCAGCCAATCAGGTAAAGCCTACCCATTTATTACTCTGCTTCATCTTGTTCAACCAGGAAATGATGTCAAAATCTGGGTCTTTGGTGCTCTTTTTCCTATACTTACATATTTACCTATCCCAGAATTAGTCAATTTTGTAATTTTCAAAGACCTTATACTTACCAATATACATGTATGAAATTTGAGGCCTGTCACTTCAGTGTCTTGGAATCTGTGGCCATCTTAATGAATGTCCCCTCCCTGCTGCAGGTGCTTTTCCAAAGAGTGAAAAACTTTCATTCCTGTGATGAAATCTGGATACAGTTGTCACTATAATGAATAAAATATTTATAAAATAACATGATTTTGTTTTTTGATGTTAATAAAATGATATAAAGTCATAATTGTGTCAATTTTTTCATAGGGGTGGAATCTCCCCAAAATAAAGAAAAAAGGTCCAAAATTTGATAAATCATAATTAATTAAGCAAAATTAAAAGGTTTTAAAAAGACTGATGTAGAAATTTTCTTATGCTTATGAAAAGTAAATTGTTTGAGACTCTGATATACTAAATGATTCTTATCTAACCCCTCCTGTTGCTTAAGTATATACAAAAAAGTTTCCCCACCCCCCAGTGAAAGACACTTAGAGAAATAGCAGGTGCCCCCTATTATATTTGTTTACAATTAATTCAGACAAGAGAAAATTAATACTTTTGATAACAAATCAAAGTGCAGTGTCTGATAGTCTTATACAGTACAACCATAATCTACATTATTGAATTTCATGCTTTAAAAAGGGGAATTCAGATTAATTTGTAAAAAATTAAGAAATGCAATAATTGACTTAAAACCCCAAAATGTACACCACAATAAGAGGCTGAAAAGTTGATAAATGAAAAATTTACCTGCAATGTACAGAAATTTGTCCGACAAAATATATCGGGTGGGTAGCGAGTCTCCATCTTCTTCTTATATAGAGAAAATGCCCCCCGCCGATCAGATACCAAGCTCTCCCGGGTCCAGGAAGCTGAAATATGAAAGTTCTCTATAGTCTTTAAATGAAAATAAATCAATAACGTTAGTCAAATTAAGCATAAATCATAAAGAAAACAGCAATATTTTTCATGTTTTCTGAAAAATTACCAAATTACATATCTTCTACATGGCCGAATGTTTAAAAAATGGATCCGTCAAGGGTGGAATACATGTTTTACAATTTTACATGTAATTACATGTAAATATTAGAAAAGTCAAATGTGATACATGCAGTAATGCCATTCCAATAATTCAAGAAAACAAAATCAGAAGCCTAAGGTCACAATAATTAAGATTATATCATGTTGAAATTCTACATATTTGGTTAGCTAGTCTAAGGGAAGTAACTCTAAGTACAAAAACTGGAAAGCAGTAGAAAATGAGTTGCAGAGAGTCACCCTGATGGAACTACAAAGAGCAAAAAGAGGGAAAACACATACCTTTGTGTAGCTACAATATAGAAACAACCAAACTACAAACTGATCCCCCCGCAGTCAAAGGGAGGCAATCCAGAGGATCACATACACTACCGACATGATACGACAAGACAGAAAATGACCTCCTTTCACATGAACACCACGAAACGCACTTTTAAGGGCCGAATAAATTATTCGAAAAGATACCAAACGTGCAGACGTATAAGAAACTAAACAAAAATTAACACCAGGCCACCATCCTACACTTCCAAAAGTACACATATATAGCAAATCATATAAATACACAATTACATGTACATGTAAAATACATACATAAATTTATTAATACATACAAACATTTATTATAAGATCAATCTGATACATTTTCTTAACTTACCTTTCTCCTATGGCCAAGTCAACTACACATTGTTTTACCAATTTAAACCCCCCCCCCCCCCCCAATCTCTACAAAAGACCCAAAATCACCTCTAACCCTAATTCCACAGATAAATAATTCATATTTTTGCTAATTTTTCTCTCGAAATGTCTTCAATATTCAAATAAATTGCTAAAAATTACTTTTCATGACTTTCACTTCACTTTACTTATTAAAAAATGGGGTCTCTATAGGGAAAAGAGTACCAATTAATTTCCCATAGAACTCTATACAAACCTTTTGCCCTCCAAGTAATTTACTAATTCCCGTTCAAACAAATCACTGGTATTATTTGAAAGTTCGTTCTAAGCACTTATTAAAAACACGAAAAAAAATATACCGTTCCGCGGCGTTTATAGGTCAAATTTGCAGTTATTTAGAACTTACAGAGATCGGCAGTAAATGACACCCTGCCAAAAATATCAATCCCCACTCCTACAATCTCCCCTGGTATTTCTAGAATTTTTGTAATATTCCCACATTCCATCATTTATTTCAAACATTAATATTTTTACTTTAAAATGAAAATATTTACATACCTCAATTCAGCCAATCAGGTAAAGCCTACCCATTTATTACTCTGCTTCATCTTGTTCAACCAGGAAATGATGTCAAAATCTGGGTCTTTGGTGCTCTTTTTCCAGTAGTGAATCATTGTTATTGGATGCGATCCTAATCTTCAGAATGTTTTAATTTTCTCTGGACAGCACTAGTTCTCTGCCCTTTATTCCTGCTTCTACCGCTAGGAATACAAAGTTGACGATGTTTACAATGCCCGCATCTCCATGCTGTCAATGAAACAAATTGAAAAATTCTGATTTTGTGTTATTACATAATAAGAAACAATAAATAATTCACTAAAACGCCAGTCATAAGCGTGTTTCATTTGAAAAACAGAGACATGATTTCATTTATATCAGCATTTGTATGGATTTTTCTGTAATAAATAGATGTTGTGTTGTTTTTGATTTGCATGAGAACGACTTTAAATCTTATGTTGCAAGGAAGCACCAGAAGCATTTCATATCATGGAGTTAAGTAGCTTATAGCTATAACTCAAAACATCAACGCGAAATATGCAGTAAATTTACGCATTTAGTAAGACATGGCATGGTAAATTTGGAATGTGTTTCCATATAAACTTCAAAATTTGTTGTTTTTTTTTCATTTGAAAGAATAAAGGTGCTGTGTAGCATGTAGCTGATTTGCACCCATCTTACACAATCTTAATAAAACGGTGAACATATGTAAATATTATAAAAATGGTACTTATTCTATTTTCTTATTTCTATGAACGTTGTTACTTTGGATACCAAAAATAGAATGTACCTAAAAATATTTGTCGTTGGTTTCTTTGTAAAAAAAAATATGCCCAAACACTCAAAATAAAATACCCCATCTGCAAATGTAAACCTAATACGAAAAGAAACATAAAACGTGCAAGTTTTGTTACATGTATACATAACATGTACATATACATGTAAGCTATAGAAAATCCATTCCAGTAAGAATACAGTCTTACCAGAAATATTTGGGTTGAAAAATGTGTGATGCCCATTCAAATATATTAATTTTTGTCTAAACTTAAGTTTTGAAAAATATCTTTACAGCCACTCATGAAGAACGATTCACAGAGATCCCAAAGTTCTGATGACGTCAACAGCAGTTTATGGAAAGGGATGAGGAATATTGCCTTCACGTTAATGGAGAATGCGTCACAGGACGCAGAGGAAGTGGACGCTGCGGCGTCTGTTGACGTCACAGAAGGCGTCGATTGTAAACTAGGACGCATACAAATAGGATTAAGTTATGATTTTCAGTCTTTAACATTAACTTTAAAAGTGATTCAAGCGAAAGACTTAGTGGCAAAGGATTTCACAGGAACAAGTGACCCTTACGTGAAAATTTTACTTTTACCTGATAAAAGACACAAGTTAGTGACAAAAGTGAAGAAGAAAAACCTTAACCCACGCTGGAATGAAAGTTTTCTGTTCGAAGGTTTGTAACATATACATTTCTGTACATATATATATATATGACAGTGACACGTGGCATTCCTGAAAACCAGAGATTTCATCTGATTGTTTTTATAGCTATCAATGTTTGACACTTTTTTATATTTGAATCGACATAACTTTAATTCTTTCCTTTCAAACTAAAATTATTGTTACATCACACTATTGAGTGAAAAAAACCCGTCTCCAGGTCATCAGGAAACAGTAGTTATATGTTGAGATTATTAAATAAATTTCTTTTGCAGTATTATTAGTTAAGGAATCATAAATTTTGCCTTATCTGGCTAAATTATTCCTACATTATTTATTTAATGTTTTTTTTTGTAGGTTGGCCTCATAACAAATTGTTAGAGAAGACAATATATCTACAAGTTATAGACTATGACCGGTTTAGTCGTGATGATCCTATCGGTGAAACTTACATTCCTCTTAATGAAGTAGATCTCTCACAGTCTCCCATCATGTGGCGGTACCTTCAGCCGTGCAAGGACAGCAGGGTAAAAAACTCACCAATTTAGAAGTCGAATTTAAAAAATAATAAGGTCTGAAATATTAATGATTCAATAATAAACCAAACACAGTGACGCAAATCATATGTTACAAAACCCCTGTCAATACATAACTTTTTACTTACATGTATAAAAATATTTACATGCTAAAAGCAGTGTATTTTGCTTTGTTTCTTAGTTTCCGAATTTCCTCTATGCTTTTTATTTTTCAATTATATGTATTGAAATTTTAAAAGAACATTGTGCTTGTAACACAGTGTAGCTTCTCAATAGAATAGTTAAATTACATAAATTACATTTACAAGGTTCATGTATGATTTCATACTTTGCTGTTGTATACAGTCGAGTGTACTTAAGAAACATAATTTTTAACTTCTTCTGCAGGGAAAACTGGGAGAAATTCTACTGTCATTAAGTTACCAGCCAGCTGTAGGCAGATTGAATATTATAGTAATGAAATGTAAAGATCTCAAGGCCAAAGATATAACGGGAGCTTCAGGTGAGATTACCTTTAGAAAGGTGTGTAGCATCAGGTGAGATTACCTTTATAAAGGTGTGTAGATGTCATCAGGTGAGATTACCTTTAGAAAGGTGTGTAGAAGTCATCAGGTGAGATTACCTTTAGAAAGGTGTGTAGGTGTCATCAGGTGAGATTACTTTTAGAAAGGTGTATAGCATCAGGTGAGATTACCTTTAGAAAGGTGTGTAGATGTCATCAGGTGAGATTACCTTTATAAAGGTGTGTAGAAGTCATCAGGTGAGATTACCTTTAGAAAGGTGTGTAGATGTCATCAGGTGAGATTACCTTTAGAAAGGTGTGTAGATGTCATCAGGTGAGATTACCTTTAGAAAGGTGTGTAGAAGTCATCAGGTGAGATTACCTTTAGAAAGGTGTGTAGATGTCATCAGGTGAGATTACCTTTAGAATGGTGTATAGATATTAAAACATTAATTTAGTATTTTTATGATAAACCTAAGTTAACCTAGTTATGATATAGAAGTGCAGTTCTTAAAACACCAAAGCATTTCTTACATCATGTAGTTACATATATGATAAATAGCTGTGCAGATATTTAACGCCAATGTCGCATTAATAGGAAAATATATGTTTACATGTTATTATGATAGATAGTTTTGTAGATTGTATGTTGTTATCTTAATGTACACATGTACATGTACACCGTGTATATCCCAACATGCGGGGTGTATACTATGTTGTGCGCGGGGTGTATGCTTCCGAAGCGAGAGAAAGGGGGTCAATGTAGGTTCTTTGTCCATTTGCTCAACTTACGGATATTTTTCGCCAGAAACCATATGCCTACGGTAGAAAGCATTATCTTAGGAGTATATGGATACCTATGAAACCACTGGACACCTTCTAGTTTTATCAAACACCTCAACACAATTCCGAGGATCGGAGCAAGATAGACGCTACACTGTGTTTATGATCAAATATCAGAAGAAAGCTTTGCTTCGTCATCACTTTTATATTATTGTTAAATACATGATTACTTTATAAACGTTTGTACAAATTGTCTGTTAATAAAGCAGTTCGTATTTAAAGATATTGACGAAAAATCAATGTTGTACGCGGGGTGTATGCAACATGTTGAACGCGGGGTGTATACCCCATATTTTTCTTAGGATTATTAGTGCAAAGTATCTATGAAAATATTATTTACACAGGATTATAAGCGACAGGTAGTGTTGATAAAAGACCCTAATACTAATGCCAAACCAAAAAGTAAAGTCCATACATGTAATTACAAAACAATTTAACTAAATTTTTAAAAAATCAAAAGAATAAAAGAAAAACTAAAACAAACTATCACATTCAAACATAATAGGCTCTAGATATGCAAGGAGCGATTGTTATCTGAATTAATGCTACATTATAGATGGCGCAATGGTCTAAATCTACGTAATCATAAAATATAAAATCTCTCCAAAGGGGGCCCTCCCCCCCCAAATCCCTGCATTGAGGACACTTTGTCCTTTCTTCGCATCATTTTAATCTAAATATTTCGCCTGTTAAAAATAATAGAAACACAACATGAATGGTGTATTATAAATCTCTTTTTTGTTTCTGCAACTTTTATATTATCAATACATATAGCATTTATGACAGCGATGTAGAATCTTTTTTGGAGGGGGGGGTACCTGAAAAAAGACCTTGACATAAGTTGACTATAGCTATAAAAAAGGGGGGGAGGGACTTATCGAAACTCAAAACTCCTATTTCAAATGTGGTTGAAGGTCCAATCTTTTTTCAGGAACAACTCTCCCTTTTTTAAAGTTTTTTTACTTAACCTTATTACATAATCATTGTTTGACTATGCTGCCACAAAGGCGGGGGGGGGGGGGGTGAAACTTGAATTTCGATGAACATTTTCTGTAGTGAAAAGTTGTGTCTGGAACAAAAAGGGGGATGATACGTATGGTATATTAAATTAATTTTCCTTTCAATTTTTGCAATATTTGGACTCATTTTTCCTTATCTGAAAAGATTTCATATTTTACAAATCACAATAAACATGTAATGCACATTTGTAATAAGGAACAATTTTCTGGGGACATGCACAGTTGAAACAAAAACTGTTGTGGGTACAATTACAATTTTACGTTGACGTATAATTAATATTAGTTAATGTTCGTCCCTCCTCTACTTTATTATCGTATATACACGGAGTAAAGTTACCCCCCCCCCCCGCAACTAAAAAGTGACCTAAGACACAAATACACCCTCCCCGGGCCCATTCCTAGAAAATATATACTTCGTACAATATAATGCCTCAATATAAAAACAAAAATTTACTGCCAAATGTGACCTCCTGGGGTCAAAGTACACAGCATATAAATACTACATGATGGAAAACATTTTTTTGCTAAATATTTTTTTATAAAAGATGTGTGAAGATAACGAACATATTCAATCTCAAAGTCCATAAAACAATACAAAATAGGAGCAGAGCAAACACGGACCCCCGAAACATCAGAGGTTGGATCAGGTGCCATGGAGGAGTGAGCATCCCCTGCTGACCGGTCACACCCGCCGTGTGCTCATTGTCATGATCGTGAAATAACGAAAAAATCCGTCTTCAATTCAGTGTATAATAAATGGACTAATTATAATTGGTATTGAAAACGTCAGTCAGCATTTGACTCAATGATAAATTGTATTTGCTGACAAAGCCATTGTATCGACCATAGAACTTACGAAATGATGACTTAAACGAGACTGCTGATATTCTTGTTTCATCAACTTGCTTGTCAAAAAATTAAGAAATTGTTCATACGTAGAGCATGCTCTTGCGTATCGAATCAATTGAGATATATACACACCGTATGCAGTATCATTAAAAAATTGTTGAAACGGGTTAAACAGAAATTATGAGAAAATGCAAAATGTTCAAAATGATGCATGAGTGAAGCATTTATTAAGGAATTATCTGAATAAGGTGTTTTTAAATCGAAGGGATGAATGGTTGTTTATCACATTAAACAGTTTAACAAAGCACCTGTACATTTACTTCCATGTGCAAGCAACGCCAAAAGTGCGATGAACGTGTATCAAATTTTTCTCCGTACTTCGAATTCATAAACCTGACTTTTTGCTATTAAAAATCTGGTGAATAATTAAAAAAATAAATATAACTTTAACAAAAGTCAATTATTAAGAATTTTTTTAATGATATTTTAGACAATGATACTATAGAGTAAAGAGAGGGGTATACACCCCGCGTACAACATGTTGCATACACCCCGGACACAACATTGATTTTTCGTCAATATCTTTAAATACGAACTGTTTCTTAACAGACAATTTGTACAAACGTTTATAAAGTAATCATGCATTTAACAATAATATAAAAGTGATGACGAAGCAAAGCTTTCTTCTGATATTTGATCATACAGTGAAGCGTCAATCTTGCTCCGATCCTCGGTATTGTGTTGAGGTGTTTGATAAAACTAGAAGGTGTCCAGTGGATTCATAGGTATCCATATACTCCTTAGATAATGCTTTCTTCCGTAGGCATATGGTTTCTGGCGAAAAATATCCGTAAGTTGAGAAAATGGACAAAGAACCTACATTGACCTCCTTTTTCTCGCTTCGGAGGCATACACCCCGCGCACAACATAGTTTACACCCCGCATGTTGGGATATACACGGTGATGTAGTTATGACAAATATTTGGTTCTGAATTGCAGTGTTTTATTACTTAAGAGACTCCCGAAAACATTCAACTTCAGGTATTTAGAGAAAGATTGGGAGTAGAAAATTTTAAGGGACCCCCATCCTTTGACCTGCTTTTTTAAATTAAAGTAGTAGGTGATAATTTATTTTCAAAGGCTTATATTATATAGCATATTATTTCCACGCAGATGAAAACAGTACCGATTCTGAATTATTTGATTACAAGATTAGATTAAAAATATAGATATTATTCAATTATTTTGACCGTTTATGTAATATGTTTTTTGAACTCACTAATTTACTTTACATATTTCTCTTATATGTTATAAATTAATTATTATTAGCATCATTTGCAATAAAAAATAGGCTCAAATATTTATACCAACTTAGACACCATTTTTTGTATCATCTATCCTTAATGTTTGCTTGTGCATGATATGTTAAATTGCTTTATTTTACTAAAGAAAATTTTATCTAAAAGGATTAGCTTAAAAAGTTGTATTGCCATAAGTTTTTACAAGCAATTGTTATCAATTTACATTTATACCCAATAAAAGATACCCTTTGCAAGATTGATTTTATAAGTGTAATGAAAAAAATATATGAAGTTACAGTAAGTATTAAGAATTGGAAAATGTGGGTTTTTTTTATTCATTGAATCAGCCATTCAAATTTTAAAATAAATGTTGCTGAGGTATCATTTTTTTTTGATTTTTTAAAGAATTTTCTTTAAGGAACTTCTAATGTAAGATGTTTTCAATGTATTCACAATTCAAACAGAGCCAAGAAATAACAAATATTTCGTCAAGTATCAGAATAATTTATGTCAACCATTTTTAACGGTAATATTCTCTGCTAAAATTGTACAATCTTTAAGGCTAATATTAACATACACCTTGGTTTATATGCATGGAGGTTCATTAAGACATGCACAACCAACATCAGTAAACATTTTAGCAATCATTTAGTATATTCAATTTATATTCAACGAAAATGGGTTAAAAATACCTTATTACTTTGTTCAAATTGCATTGTTGTTTTTAAAATTAAATTAAACGCTTTGATATGTTGGATCAATTAATCACAATATCCATTTACAAAACAACATCATAGTTTCTTTGTAAAAATTAAGGACATTTCTATGTAAAAAGTAACGAAATTTACATCATGTTCATGCTGTTACACACCATAATTACTACTTATTTGCTTAATAGTTGAAAGGAATGCATCTTAAACCCTTAGTTCAAATTCATTAGACATTTTTCATTTCTTTAATTTTACATATTTAAAGATTCCTCAACCCTTACTTTGTTCTAATAAAGTAATTTAACGGTTCTTGATTTTTAGGAATGGGAAGTTAAGGATAAATGATACAAACAAAGGATGAGTGCACTTAAGGAAACTTAGAAATTGCGACATAATTAATTTTTAAAATTGGCATTTCTCTTTCAATGGTAGAAATGGTCAATGTCTTAACTGCAACTTTGTGTAATTACGTTAATTAAAAGTTCGTATTAACGAAGTTCAAAGTCGTTTTTATAGGGAGGGGCCATCGCATATTCTGGAATCTCCATAGGATAATGAGTAAGCCCATCTTTTTACAGGCTTAATACATAGTCAGCGCATGTTTTCTATTGATCTCCTTTTAATGGTAGTTGTATATTTATATATATTACCTCATATTAAAAGGAGATCGATAGACAAACATGCGCTGATGGTTAAAAAGAGAAAAAACTGTTTCTTCGTGTGTTCACTTTCTCCATAGTATACAGGCCATTTTGACCACGTTGTTACCTGTTGAATATTATAATTAACCACGTGATTTCAATACCCAGGTAACTCTGTGAATACTAAAATTCCATCACGTGACGTGTAAGGAAACACGCATTCTGCTTGCCGATAATGATTGTTTATATCTGTTTCAATCCATTCCCATCGAGCCACGGGCTATTCTTTTTTTCTCTTAGATATCTATAAGATTATTTTTATATTTATCTCATAAGCATTTCATTTTACTATCCTTATATATTTTTGAATGCATGTCTCTACATGTTCGTAGTCTACAAGAAAAAAGAGATTTATTTATTATGTTTTGAATCATTGCTTAACATGAACATCCAAAGTAAGAGCCAGTAAATAAAATTGAAATCATACCATTCTTAGCACTCTAATTTATAGGGAAAAGTAATTATAAAAGAAACTTTAAAAAAACTTGAGTAATTGTGGTGTTTTTCCTTCTTTTTTATAAAAGGGAAAAAAGAAAGTCTTATTGTTGTTATCGGGTCTCGATCCCGGACCTAAATATTATTGATTCTGTGCATTACCGTCTGAGCTAGTCGGCACTTATATTCGAACACGCGAATTGTTTATATCAGCCATTGCTGTTGATTATCAATGAGAATGGCTACTTCTACCGGTCGATGTTATTTGTTATTAGTTATATATACTTTATTTGAAAACTGAAAAAATAATAGTGACAAACATATGACGAGAGAGAGAGAAAGAAAATGCACCAAATATAAATACAGTAGCTATTCTAATATAAGACCACTAGCTCATCACAATATTAGCTCCATCTCTTATGCATATTTATAAATCTTATCTTAAGTCAAGGGCAGATAAGTCTCATTTCCCTATATTTGCAGAGAGGTGGGGTAAGGAAACAACGAATTATTTCATTGCAACGCAGTTTATAACCTTTATCACATTGTATTTCATTTGGAAATAGACCAAACTCTATAATAAATGACTTGAGACAAAAATAAAAACAAAAATAAATGTAACAACAGAGGTTGAAAAAGACCCAAAAACCGGCGTTAAGTGCAGTCATCCTTTTTGTCAAAAACATTTGAAAATAACAAGTTGAGTCATGTTTTAATGAGTAAAATCAATAAGTTTAACCGCATATTTTGGAATTTTTATTCCTAATCTAACAGAAATCGGATTTGAAGAGAAGAAATACTTGTATAGATTAATAAGGATGGTTTCATGGAGGTAGAATTTTGAGCATCATAGAAGGTTTAAAAGTTCTTTCCATTCTAGAAATTCATTTCTTACATCATTTTCAATGAAATAAGACAAAAAAATTTATATATAATCCAGACATCCATTTTTTTGTTTCTATCATCTGTCCTTAATGTTAAAAAAACAAAACAAAACAATTATTCATCCAATTGAGAATTATCTTTCTTAAAAGGGTATCAATGAAACTATAAACACCTTTATTTACTTAATTATGCAAAACTAGCACTATAACTACAATACAATCAAACATTTTCAATAATTTTTTATCTTAATTTTTTCACTTCTAACCTTCATTATGCCTTGGTAAGCTCCATACCCCCCAAAATAGATTTGAAAACTCTTAACCTTTTTTCTTTTTACTTGCAGATCCCTATGTCAAGCTCTGGTTAAAATTCGGAAACAACCGAATAGAGAAAAAGAAAACATCAATTAAAATGCGAACTCTAAATCCAGTGTACAATGAGTCGTTCTTTTTTGAAATTCCTTGGGAAAAGATCCGGGAAGCTGCAATAGAAGTGATTGTGATGGACTTCGATAAAGTGGGAAGGAACGAAATGATAGGAAAAATTGTGTTAAGCAGCAAGAGTGGTCCCTTGGAGACAAGACATTGGAACGACATGATAACAAAGCCTCGCCAACAAGTCGCTCAGTGGCATTTACTTAAAGACTGACAAAGGCTAAGGCTTAGAATATTCTAGTTTTGTTTGTTTAAGCAAAATAACATTGTATTTTGTTGATAGAATATTTAACATTGCAAATTTTGTAAGATATTGTCATTTTATATGATTAGTGATTTGTGTTCCGTGAAGTTTGTTTTTAATATTAAGATCTCACAAGATGGGTTGCAAAAATGGCGACGTTGTCAAAGATGACGCGATATAATGCAATCTTTCATCTATGTGTTTCATTTTATTGATTGAAAAGTATATTTAATAAATTCTTGAACTCCATCTTTGTCACTGGAAGAGGTACTGATTACCAACTTATATAAACATTTTGTATAAAGTTGCGTTCAGACTGCCTTTAGAATGCATAATAATTACATGAATATTCATATAACACATTTGCAAGATCAACAGACATTTTAATGAAGGTAACAGTTAATACCTCATTAATTTTCTTGAAAATATAACTGAGTTATCCTTCTTTTTATGTCCTGATACTGAATGAAAATCAATTCTAATATCTTTAGCCACGAGTACTACAATTTAATATTAATACAGAGTATATTCATGTGCAAAGATTCGCCCCTTCTGTCTTATGTTCTAGAATGGACAACTGATCCTCATGAATTAAAAACAATGTACAAGATCAAAAAAATAAGAGGCGGTTTAATATCCGACTCGGAGAGAAAATAATTTTTACAAAATAATATTTCATAACTTTTAAAAGTGATGGAGTGGAATTGTCTTAATTGCAGAAATTACATAACTTATGTAACTTGCTGAGACACCACATATATTTATTTCTTTAGCAATAAAAAACTAATACGGCATATATATCTTTAAGAAGTTGATTCGTTAGTACCAAATGTACACGTACGTCTGCTTTAATATTCTCTTAACGAGGTTGGCTCCTGATATTAAAAGTCTGAAACTTTTTTGTCTAGTATGTATTTTAGTTTTTACATACATAGCTAAATCAAATCAAATCGAAAATAGGTGTCAATATGTTTCTTTTGCCAGTACAATGCATTTAATACGACGTTTTTGCATTAAAGTCTGTGTCTTAATCAAACATTTCCTTTGCGACGTTTTCTCTCCAATATTTTTATCGAAATAAAGCATGGAACAAAATGAACTAAATGACTTGTATTTTTAAAAAGACACTTTAAAGTTATAAGAAAAAGTTTCAAATTGCTTCACATAATCAATTTTTTGACCTTGCTGCACTTACAAAATGTGATTTTACTTAAATTGAAAATTTAATAAGCATGAAAATGATTTTAAAGTCTTAAACATTTGCGGAACATTACGAAATAACGAGATTGACTTTTGTCTACACAATGTTCTCTTGAGTTCTTCTTCGTGCTCTTTAATTCTTTGCAGGGCGCGGTGATCAACATTTTTTAGTATTTCCTTTAAGATCTCATAATTATTCAATGAAAGTTTTCCATCCTTTTCCAATGTATTGAAATCTTCATAAACAGTGGTTGAGTGATACCTTGGTGCCGAGTATAGGGATTTAAAATGTTCTTTCCATGTTCTGAAAACACGCTCATTATCCACAGACTTATCAAGATAGTTATTCACCAAATCAGTAATTAAATTTCTATAAAGTGTCTTTGGTATTTGCACCTCTTTGTCATGAAGACTTGTCTCTTCGCCTTGAAGGAAAGAAAAATAAGATAAATATGTTTACTTTATTATGTTCCTGAAACAAGGTTTGGAATCTTTTTTTTACTCTGTTTCATTTTATTGTTATTAAAGACCCTCTCTACACAAGAGCAAATTTCTTTTGAACATTAACAAAAAAAAAAAAAAAAACGTATAAAAGAGTTAATGTTAAACTTATTTATCTAATTTTCACTGTATGGTGCGTGGCATTTACCCCCTGGAAAATGTTCAAAGACATCACAGTATCACAGTGAAAAGAAAACACTGTTAATTATTTCAATAAAGAAAAACATATATAACACCTTCAATCAGTTAATTTATCTTTGCCTTTTAAAATGTGAAGAATACTTGAATAAATTACAAATTTTGTAATATATTGTAAATATCAATCTTTCAAAATTTACATCTAGGGACAGATAACTCTAGCTGCAAAAAAACACCGTTAGAATCAATACTCTTTTAGTGTGCAGTGTAAAGAGGGTTCTTAGTCAGTCAAGGTAGAATAGCAATAGGGTGTGTGCTTCGTGAGCAGGCCCGGATTCTATTCTCTTTCGCTGCCTCAAAACTTGAATGTTAATTTCAAACTATCATACCGGTAATTCACCATTCAAACAAACTCAGTCAATTGTAGTTCTATACATATAAAATCTATTTTGAGAATTGTGTGTGTGTGTTTTTTTTTTTTTTTGGTTTTCTTCCAAGCCACATTGCTTGTTATATGTACATAGGAAAAGATATGTACTTTGTTGTAAATAAATAAGGGGTTTGACAGGAACTAGCTATTTCAGGGCATAGGAGGCTACTTCCGGAGGAGCACTCGGTTTATTGATCAGCACATTGAAAACACGTGGATTTGAGAGAAGCCCTGTTTCCAAATAAAAAAGATCAGAAAATGTCCTTTAGGTACCTTGTTTTTGGTGTCAATCAATGTGAAGGGTAACGTTTAATACTGTAGAAGTGGAAAACATTACGGTGTTTTTAATTTCACCATGTTCACGATTTAAGAATTTTCCGCGAACTTTAAACCATCGTGATTATTATTTCACGTCATTTCTGCCTAGAAACAGTCATAGTACCTGAATATTTACAAACGATTCTCCGTGAAATTAAAACCACCGTAAAAGGTAACTTTCTAACAAACCGTGAAATTTAGACACGTGAAATTAAAGACGTCTATAGTACTCTGCTAAATATTTTTTCATAAATTCAAATGCCTGATTTTTAAGGACTTTTTATTCTATATAGAATTATACAGTGGAAACAATTACCGGTTTGAAACTTACAGTAGTGACGGTTTCTTTGCAATTTTTTTGAGTTTTTCGAATGAAACCTTAAAACTCGAGGGCCTGCAGCACAACATGCGCTGTTACGATGAAAAAACTTGCACTGCTGAGTTGACTTACGTACCAATTTTAGGTCTACGTTTAAAGACCGTCATCAACATACGTTTCAGTTTTGTTGAAAAAGCTCGCTTTTTTATCGTGGGGAGATGGTTGTATAAAGAAGTGTTCTTTCAATTGATTTTCGTGAATGTTGTGAATCAAAATTTCCAAAAGTTCCATAGAATTTATGTATTCAATATATTTCTAGACGTGTGTATTCCTGTCCTATAGATAAGACTAAATCACACAGAAGGCGTCTCAAATTAGAGTGTTTTCCATGGAAACTATTAGGGATGATCATCTGTGAATGGATTAGGTGTAGAAAAAAAACTTTTATTCGTTTAGAGCCCTTCTGGTCTTGGCAGGAAATAAATAAAGTAAAAAGGAAGTAATTTGAAAATGAAAAAACAAAACAATTTTTATTTAATTTCTAGAAGCAAATATGTGAAAGCTCTGTCATGTGTTTTATTATTCTTTTAGATTAAACCTTTTAAAATATTCGTTTTTTATAAATAAATAATAATTTAAATTTATAGAATTAAAGAAAAAGTTAGCAAGCTCACATACCCCCCGACGTCCTGAAATTCCCGAAAAAAAATCGGAATTTACTGGTAATGTGCACATCAACACATTGTGTCCTAATATCTGCAAAGTTTAACGAAATTGTATGCAGCGGTTTATGAATGAAAAGTTGTGCTGACAAACTGTTCACCTCTACCGTATAGTATATTCAAGATATGATAAAAAAAAATCTAGGTGTAAATGTGCGGAAATTCCCAACAAAATTATGACCAAAAAAAAAAACAAAACTGACGGACTGACTGACACTCTGATTGACTGATGACTAACGGGTCGAAAACGTTATACCTTACGCAACATGTTGCGTGGGGTATAATAGACAAACTACAAAGCATATAAACTTCTTTTATACCTTTTGTTACAAAACGCCCACCCCACTTATAAGGGTAAGTTCTAAAGTACTACTGGATTTTGCACCCAACCGAAATCTTAAGTGTTAATCTTTTCACACAATTTGACTGAATAAAAGAGTTCAAGGGAGGTCCTAGCATGCCTTCCAATTCAGTAACCTTAGCAGCGTGAGTCTTTCTCCAATGCTCCAAATTTCTAGGTGAGCTTTAGCAAACTTTTTAATTAATGATAGTTAGCCTCGCACCCAACAAAAAAAACTATTGCGAAAAAAAAACATCAAAGAAAATTCAAATAAATGTTTAAGAATGCATACCATGTCTCCAAAAGCGAAGCAGATCATTTTCATTGATTACATGATGATTTTTAAGCCCATGATTGGGACAACTGAATTCGCCTCTACCAACCAAATCTTTTTCCAGAATAAAGCTCGTTGCATTTTCCTCAAGTATGTCTTGCTTTGAACATTGATAGCCGATATCATACAAAGTTTTCTTGTGAAAGTTTTTAGTCAAGTTCTCCAGGACATCTTCTATTGTTTGTTTAATATTCATTGTAATCTCTTTTTTGAGATGACCATTTCCTTGTTTAAATATTTGAACCTGAATAGTTGATGTAGTAACAGCTACACCTATCATGTGTTCTTCAAACTTAAATAAAGCGATGTTTTTAAACAAACACTTTTGTCCATTGTCTTCAATAACAGTCCACTTTGTGTTGACTATACAGGCTACAATGAGACGGAAATAAAAGAAATATGGCAGGAACCGGAAATTGAAGACTAAAACAGAGGTTTTTTGATCCAATTTTGTTATATAATCTTTCAGTTTCTTTTCAAAGTCTAATTTGTTCATGCAAGGGACATAGTATGCTTTTTTACCTTTAGCAAGCAAGCCCAGTCGTTGCATATACTTCAAGGTAGTGTTGCATTTTATTGGTTCCATGTCTTTTTTCATCCAAATTCCTTTTAATAGCTCTCTAGATAAATAGCCACTTTCAAAAAAGTTTTTCCAGTCTTTGTCATTATCAACAAGATCCCTGGCATGTTTTGGATCTGTTATAATATACTTAAAACAGTCGACAAACCATTGCACATCTGTTATTGTGCTATGTTTTAAGTGATCTTCGTTGTAATACAGAATAACCCCAATGTCATGATAAAACTGGAGCACATCAAATGTCTTATTTTCTTTTCCATTTTTTTCTATTGAAACTTGTTTTCTAAAGTCTGAAAGTGAAATACATTTTTCCCCACTTTGTTTCTTCTGTCTTAAAACTACTTCACAATATGCCCAATCCTTCGGAATTTTCTCTCTCCAACGATCTTCCAAAGAGATAGAAGCGATACATTCCACTAAATCGGTTAACTTATCCAACGGTTCGTTATCATCCTTAGGAAACCCAATGTGGAAGCAGCGTTCTCGGTCAAGATGTTTTCTCAGATCAGGCTCATTCTTCAAAAGCTCCAGCAAATCATCATATATTGATGTGTTAACCTAGGAAGAAGGAGATAAATGTCCACTTAGTTTATCATGCATTTAACAATCTATAAAATTACATTGTACGTACAAATCAAATGACTATGAATACATTGCTTACGTTTAATGAGAAAAAACAACAACACCGAAATGTGTATGTGCTAATTAAACGAAATAATTGGTTTTGGTGCATTTTATTTCAAAACATTTTTTATCATTGACATGTACCATATTTTTCACTTCGTCAGAATGGGTTGCTATGGTTACAACTGGAGTATCATCTTCGCAGTAGGTATGGATAGATTTCAACCAAAAAATGACATATTCTGAATTTAAAAATACAAGTAATTAATGAAGTAATCAATTTATGAAAGATAAATACATAATAAAATTTACTTTTAACTTGTCAAAAATAAACGTTTTGTTTGCTTGAAGGTTGTTTAACGCCCTTCTCGAGAATTTTTTCACTCATATGGAGACCCCAACACTCGCCAGTGGAGATCTGCAAATTTTGTCCTATTCTAGATACTTACGGCCATTGAGCAGTGAGGATCGTTTTTTGTGCCAGCAACTACTGCGAAACGGGACCTATATTTATGAGGTCTCATCCGAAGGACTGCTCTACGCGTCGCAGAGTGGGATTCAAGTTCGTGACGTAAGGATGAACTCGCGATTGTAGAACAGATGTTTTAACCATTGCGATAATGAAGATAAGCAGTATATCAGTTATAAATATTGGAATGTCCTAGCCTGTATGTGCAAACAAAAATAATTTTTTGTCCACATAAAATTCCTTTTTTGTGACAATGGTCTTTCAATTCTAATGGAAAACGTATTTTTTCCGTGAAACGGCAGATATGTTAGACGAATTCTTATGTGAATGTTTAATTTTACTGGTTTGTTTAATTAAACCACAATTTGCCTAAAATTTCTCCCTCACTGATTGAGTAGAGTGATATACTGCTTATCCTCATGACTGAACATTATTCAATATAATCCGTTAAGTTTAATTAATTGCAAATAAATATTGCTTCCAATACAGGAATTAAGAGATCTGTGGAGATGTGATTATTTTGACTTAAATAGCTATAAAATACTGATAAAGGTTTGTCTGATAGTGAATATAAAATTATTACTGAAATGAAACTTGTCTGATAATGAGGCATTTGATGGCATGCAATAAAAGAATGAATGCATTACGAAACATTTTGTTGTATGATGAATTGTGTGGAGTACATTTCATAAAAAAACGATTGTCTGATCATGATTGGGTGTGTTTGTGAAGATTATCCTGTCCTTTTCAAAACAAAATGAACTGGGCACTGACAATAAGACAACTATAAATATTTAACACAGAAATAACCTGAATTGCAGTTATTCTTTTCACACTTAATAATTTTGTTAACAGGAAAATAATGATTTCAAAACCTTAAAATTAAATCAAAATTTAACCCCCAAAATTACTTTATTGTACGCAAACAATTGCAAACGACGTGTACAAAACACTTACGTCCGAATGTCCAGTCTGCAAACATGGTTCCTTCCTGTTCACACAATGCTTGATCAACTTTTTTATCAAACCTTTTTGACATATCGATAACAAGAAGATAAAAAGCTCTTCTGCTGAGATAGACCTGATGACAGGCGTAATACGCACACTGTCCAGCAAAATCCACAACACTCAGTAGGCACTTATTTTCTGTATCAACATCTTCCTCCAGACCTGAACAATACAATCTAAAACACATGATTTAAAAAAAAAAAAATATACTTTGATTAAAATCTCCTTAAAACTTTATACAAACCTCTTAAACATTTTCGATCTTTGTCTACTTCAAATAAGTTGTCATGCACTTCCAGTCCTACGGTCGACTGTATTTGTCGTAACTCCTGGATACTACGCTGCTGTAGTCGCCTTAAAAGAGTAGTTTTTCCAGCTCCAGCACAACCAACAATCATTGCACGAGCTCTATGCATTGTTTGAGTTCCTTTCTTCGCGCATGCTACGTATCTGCATCGAGCATCGTAGTCCCATTTTAGAACTTCTTTTGGTATGTTTACTGTTTGGAAAATAATCATGTAGAGTCAGAAAAACAAAAATGTTTCGATTATTTCTGTAAATTGATGTACAAATCGTTCTGTGTTTTCATTCCTTTTTTATATTTCTGCCGACCCGTGGGGATCCGGGTTAGAATAGGTCCTCAGTACCCCCTTGCTTGTCGTAAAAGGCGACTAAATGGGGCGGTCCTTCGGATGAGACCGTATAAACCGAGGCCCCGTGTCACAGCAGGTGTGGCACGATAAAGATCCCTCCCTGCTCAAAGGCTGTAAGTGCCGAGCATAGGCCTAAATTTGCAGCCCTTCACCGGCAATGGTGACGTCTCCATATCAGTGAAATATTCTGGAGAGGGACGTTAAACAGTATACAATCAATCAATCAATATATTTCTGCCACACAATATAAGTACATTCAAATTTTAGTATCTGATTTCATTATTACATTCATTTTTGCCTTTTAAGTCAATGCATTGATTGATTAAAATTCATGAGAACGTGCGTCTAAATTTCACTTTATAAGATGACTGATGATATTATTATACAATCAAACTATAGACAATAATCACTGTGAACCTTATCTTTTTTTCTGTCTTAATAAATAAAAGAAATTTATTTATTCAGTCATTTTTCCTCTAAAAAAAACCCAAAAATTATCAGGAGTACAATTTATGATAAAATTACTAGCTCATATGTCCTTTTGAGTTCAAAACAGACCTTTAATTCACCAAAAACATCAAACATCTACATTCTTTTACCGGTCAACTTGACCGGTGGCGCTAAAACAAAGGCATGCGTGTTTTTCACAAATACATGTAACCGTTGCGCTTAATGTACTTAAATACAATTAAATGTATTTTCATGGCTTTGAACTAACGTATTTCTGTGGAAGTATTTTCCATTTCTTTTTCCGATAAATTTTATGTCAAATTTAGTAAGCGAACTGCTTTTCACTGTACATGTGTATGTTATGAAATAACTCTTTTAGGTCTCTCCATTAGAAATAGGAACACGACTGTGCTATAAACTAAAATGGTTCATATTATTTCCAAGCTCTAATTTTAGCTTTTCTAAACTTTTTGTTTCTCTTCTTGTGCTTTAAAGTTGATATTTTAATCATGTTTTTCTAATTTTTGAAATTTACATTAAAAATTCGTTATGATTGCAGAACAGATTAACAATGATATAAATTCTTTATTGAAATTTCTTAATTAATTTGTTTAGGTAATTGATGTCAATGAGTTTTATTATACCTCTATTGATAATACTCAAATTTGATTGGCTGGTAAGAAAACTTTAAAACACAACAATGACTCTAAATGGTACTGTTTACAGCAATACTGACCTAGGAATCATTGTACGTGGGATATAATGACCCGGTCATTATTTTTAATGACCGCTAAAAATGACCCCTTAAGGTTCATTGATACTCTGATAAGAGAGATAACTCTACAGATAAGAAAGGTAACTTTCTGCAGACATTTTGTCATGAAATTCAGTAATTTGTCATGCCAAAGTTTACAGATCTCTAATATAAAGACCATTTTATTGTTAACTCACGCAAGCCCACTCCACTGTTCAGAGGTTGATTTCTAGTTCTATTGCTAATGTATATGTAAATTATTTTTTAATACTTTACCTAAAACATTTATACTCAGTTCCTTTAAACGGTGTAAGTTGATAAAAAATCTATCTCTAAACGTGTAAGTCTTTTAATTGTACAGAAATAACAGCCGCAGAATTGTTTATAAACATTGAATTAATATTTTATTTCATTAAAAAAGAATTTCAAGGGCGACAATGGAACGATAACTCTTCTTTATGGATGCATTTTATTTTACATGCACAGAAAACAATTTGATATTCTGATTTAAAAAGCATCGCTCCAGTATGTTTTCTAAAGGAAATAAGATAGGTATGAGAGTAAATATTATTTTTATATATACCTCATATTTCTAATTTAATTGTGAGATTAAAAATAATTGATCTTTCTAATGACCATATCAAATTTTCTTCAAATCATGATTTGGCATATCATTCATTTCTGAAAAAGTAAGCAACGTTTCATACTTCAAACTATTTTCTATTTGAATTGAATGTAAAAGTTGTTGCTGAAGATCAATGTTTGGAACTTAAAAAAAAGGCGTGAAATGTGGAGCAGAGGGATATTGTCCCTTAATCAAAAATTCGTTTTTGAGTTAAGTTAATGCCTAAAATAATAATCATTCGAAAAAAACATGTTTTTAAAATTGTGCATGGTCTGTTTCACATTACCATACAGCATACGGTAAAATTTTATCGCTACAATATTATGAATAGGGCCTATATCGTTTCAACATGTTCAATATATCGTAAGGCCCAAAAAAAAAAAAACCTGTGTTTCCGGTAACCCGACCTACCCTAATTTTACACGCCGACTCTAGCACTTTTTTATTGCAAATCCGGATTACGTACCGTAACTTGTTCTAAAACTACAGTCTACAAAACGCGCGCAGTTAAAAAGACACTTGTAACAAATAAATAAAAACGTCTTTTCAAGCATTTTAAGATTATACATGCGTAGATAATAGCTCTTTTCCCCTTAGATCGTTCCCTCCTTTACCCTTTAATGACGACTTTTGACACTTAGCATCCAACCTTTAATGAGACTTTTGACCACACGTTGACACGTGTGTATATTTTCATTGTTGATTTGACTTGAAATTACCGCTTGTTTTTAAAATTATCAGAGCACAGGCGGCCACCTGCAGGTTAACAATAGATGATTGCATCATACTACAGTTGGAAATCACATGATTTACTTGTGTAAAAAAACATTAGAATCTCGGAAAGTCCCACCAAAATTCAAAATGGCGGACTGTTACTTACGATGTTTATTTAGCATGTAACTCGGTCAACACGCAATATTTTCTCATCCAGTAAAGCATTACATGAAATTCAAGCTATCAACTACATATTTCTTGAAAGGTTTGATAATTATAATGATCTATACGTGTAATATACTTCAATATAAGATACGAAAATTTTGTGAAGTTCGGGACCGCGCAGTGCCGATTTCGTTAATTGTTTCCTAGAAATTCAGAAGATATCTTCCATTTTACACATATTTATAAATGTAAAGGTGTAGAAAATAATTATTTTAATAGAATTTGATCATTAAATATATTCAAAAAAGTTTAGAAATCAAGTTTTATCAAGCAAGTTTGAAAATTTGTTGACGAGATTGACATTGTAGTATCACTACAGTTAGTGATTTCTGAGGAATCAAAATTATAAAATGGATAATAAATAATAATTTAACCATTAATTATATCATCACACATAAATTTTACAGTTTTAAAAGACATGCAACTTTGGCATATCTGTTTAAAATATCTATTTTGCGATTTACACCTGCCTTCACTTGAATTATTTATTATAGAAAATTACAATAAAAATTCTGTAAATAGAATTGAGAAAAATTTAATTTATTACGAATCCAATGAAATATAATACATAGCATAAAAGAAATATTTTGACCCCTATTAGCATGATTAGTTCGCTGTTTTAAAATGCACTCCAATTCATTTAAAACGCTGTAAGGGGCAGCCACTAGGCAAACACTCCAGGGATATGACTAGTGTGTCAAATTGTGCCCCCAGATGTATTTCATCACTTATTTTTATATGTGCATCACTCAACTCTAAGTCCACCACATGTTGTCATTGCATGGGTTTAAGCTCAAGAAATGTCCACACTCATACGAAATTACTGCAATATATAACTTTCTTTGGCACTGGACTGTGGGAAATTTATTTGAAGATAGTCATAATTTTGAAGTGGTTTAACTCTGACATTATTGGCCGTGAATGAAATGGATATTAACTATGTCTTTACATGTAATGATAATGAGGTCGAGGTAGAAGTATAGGCCTGAAAAACAATCTTGAATTCTTTATTTTACTTTTTTTTTGTTAAATGTGACAAAATTTGATTATTAAATTGTCATTAAAATTCAAATGTCTTTTTCTGTAAATCAATTTCTTGCAATTGGTTCTGCTATCTACCTCTAGAAAACAGAATATTACTTGTTAATATTTAATATCACAAACAGTCTACCTAAAAAACAATCAAATATAATGTTCGGTTAAAATAAAAAGTAAAAGTAAAAAAAAAGTAATTGCCTACCTACCTACCCTAATTTTGAGGGACATGTTACCGGAAACACACATATTTTTTTTTTTTTTTTGGCCTAACAATTCAGTTCAAAAGAATGTAGAGGCGGCTCTTTAAAGAGTTGAATTCTGTGTTAGATTTTGACTGTTTAGAGGAAAAGTAATCGTTAGCTTTAACAATGTATGTCGCTATCAACTAAATATTGTTTTTAATCAGTAAATCATGATGCAAAAACTTACACGACTTGCAGACGTCAATGTAAACAACTTCGTAATCCGGTCTGTAGCGAATCCCGATCCCGATCAAAGAAAGAATTGATAACGGTTAGAAATTTATACTTTTCAATATATATCGGTATAATAAAACAATTAATTACCCCTTGTGAGTTCAACATGGTGAAATAAGGACCCTCGACCTGGCCCACGAGGTGACCTGACCTGACCGAGGCCGCGAAGCGGCCGAGGTCAGGGCAGGTCATCGAGTCTCGGGTCCTTATTTCACCATGTTGACCTCACAAGGGGTAATTAATTGTATAATGTTGTTTAGTTTTGTGGATAAAGATTATAAATTGTTCTTTACAATGATTTAAGACAGGAAATTCAAACATAAATGTGTTTCAATAATTATGACCATTTTCTTAATTATTTTGAATGAATGTATATTGGCGTAATTTGCAATTTCCACGTTTTTTGTCGATATATAAATAAGCAACCGTGCCAGTATAAAAGTTTTGTTTTCATACGAATTTTGACATGGAATTCTGACACAATTTCAAATAAGGCATCATTGCTTATCATAACTGTACACTTATCATGCGTACTTAAAACCCAGAGGCAGAGCAGAGTAACAA